ATATGTACCTAATCCAATAATAATTCACAATTTTAATTAAATTCGACTAAAGAAGTGAATAACTTTCCTTTTCTTTGTAATTTCGAATTTATTTTGAGTTTAAAAAGCTTCCCCTTAAAATAATATGTATCGTTTGTGTCATCTAGGATAATTATTTTTTTATGTAAAATGCATATCCTACTAGAAGATGTAGTAATCATAATACAAAATTACGCAAAATTTTTTACAATCATTTTAGCAGAATATTCCTTATTGATGGTTTCTCTTAATTGGTAAAGTTATTATATAGTTGTATTTACAAGGAAAACTATAGGAGTAATGTTATTATATACTACAGGGTGTCCCAGTTTAATCTATCATTGCAAATGTTTCGCTAGGGAAGTCTAAATCTAAAATTCGTCTCTACTGAAGTTGTTAGACACAAAGGACACCATTTAATTCCATGGTCAGACACCTGTAAGTCCATGTGATATCCAATTTTCTTTTTTTAAATATTCCCCATATCTTTTACGTAATCTAAATTATACGGAAAAGTATACATCCAACTATGATTTTCCGGGTCCGGAAAAATGCTTTTTTCCATCTCGCCAAAGAATTATTCTATCAACAAGTTTTCTCGACGAGAATTGCTGGGTTCTCAAAGAGACAGAAATTCTATGGCCACAGCAACTTTCAAAGATGTAATTTTTCAATTTGATAATTCCCTAACTAGGTATACCCGGATGTCACAATCTTTGTTAAACCATATTTTAAACGTATTTTTTTCCTATATGATAAGATTCTGCAATAAAAGAATTGAAGTATTCATTTAAGAAAACAAAGAATTAGATGCCTCCTCCTTCTTAAAACCCAACAACTATTGTAGAAACAAAAAAGAAAATAAATTTACAAAAATATTTCAACGATATTTCATAAAAATTCGACCTATAGGCATATTAAGCCTTTGTCTAGCTCTTATTAAATATTGTTTAAACATTTTTGTGTTTTTATTTTCTTCAATGTCATAAAATTATCTTAAACTTAAAATAACCGAGCTTTGGATTGAATAAAAGTTTCGGCGAAATATATTTTTTTATTTCAGTAGCTTTTGCTACTGAAGGTACACCTGCCAAGTCTCAAGAAGTTTTATTAAAAAATTCTCTACCAAGAATATTTTATTTAATTTCATTGTTTTAATATTCTATATTTTTATGGGTAATAAAAATTTTACTGTCAATAAATAATAGATAAAGGAATTTCTACGGTTTTATTTCTTTTTAAATTTAGAAATTTGGATGCTTTTCTTTCTTTTTAAGTAAAATGATCTGAATTAACAAGGCTGTTATACAATGCTACACCATTTTAATTCAAAGTTATTTTTTAGTTGGAGGAAGGCTCATTTGGAAGTTACTCAAAGTAAAAAAGCAAAAGTCTAGTAATTACTAAAATTATGCTGTAGAAGGAAATTCAACTGTTTTTTTTTATAAAAGATACAGATCAAAGTTTGTCGTCACATTATCGCGAATAAGACACAGAAACAATCTAAAAAAATATTTAAATCAAACTATTTCTCTTTGATGTAACTTTTAATGGCGTAAGGTAAAAATTACACCTAGGGATAGGAAAAACTTTTTAATTGGTATTCAAAGTAAAAAATTAATAATTTCATCTTCGTGTCCTAATTTAAAGACAAAACTACGCCTAACGTAACTAGATCCGTACATTAGGTAATTTTTGTTCTCTAGAAAAACAAGTTCCTAAGCAAAATATTCTTTGTTTTTATTGAAAGTAAATTTGCGTACAAAAATAATCGGTTATGTTTTTTTTTCAACAGTTTTATTTATCTGATCGCGATTTTGCGTCTTTCGCATTATCGAGATTTTTACGCGGAAAACATTAATCACGGAAACCTTTCCTGCATGTTATGCTTAAATCAGAGTTGGCCGAAAGGTAGAGGTCAGCTGTCTAATTTTGAAGTTGAGTTTGGAAACAAAAATAAACGTCTTGCAAATTTTCACACGCCTCTGCTTTGAATGCTTGTTTTACGAAGGTTTTGTTAGATGTAAACATGTTTAACCGAAAATAAGCTAGAAAAGTTAGAACAATAGCTCTAATTGATGTTATCAGAAGGTGATGTTATCCAAGGAATTGTTACACAATATTTAATGATTCCGAGATATAATTGTAACACAGGAAATTTTTGATTTGTTACAGTGGAAAATTTGAAATTAAAAAATTGAAAGTCACTGCTTTGATGTCTACATACATACGTCGATTTTTTCAAATGAAGTCTATTCTAAATATAAGTTTCATGGCCTGCTGTTTTTTTTTTAGATTTTAGCATAATGGCATTGCGCAATCTAACCTCTAAAAATAATCTAAGTACCTATCTACCAACTTGTTGCTAGGCAAAAATGCAGCTACAGAAATTCAAAAACTTAAATAAATTGCATGATATTCAGGATAGAATTATTTTTTGTATTTAAATTTCAAAAACATATATATATATATATATACCAAGCAATCTTTTAGAAACGTACCAAATAAATTTAATGTCCTGATTTTTAGTATTTAAATGGTAACAAAAACAGTATGGAATTACTTCAAATCATTAGAAAATAAAAAAAAAACCTTTTCGGTATTAATTCCTCCGTAAAATGCATTCCCTAACTAGTGCGATTTCATCATCTTGTCTTCAATGTCACATAATCCCTTGATATATTTATAAAAATTCACAAACAGTCTCTATATGCACACATAATCACGTTATCTTATCACTCTCCGTCACACCTACACGGAAACGCACAGTTCGTTGACCTTTACGGTGTGCACTTTCCATTTTCCCGACGCCCCCGGTAGCTTACGTCACGAACTGTCTTCGGCGTCTCCTGTATTAGTAAGAGATGCGCAGCGGAGATGCGCGTTCACACATTTTCCCGATGGGCCCGGTACGAGAACACACAGCGGAGTGAATCGCAGCGTTCGGAAAGTTATGTTTATAAAGTTAGATGTAACGGCCTGGTAGCCGAACATTTTCCCGAGTGTCCTCGTAAATACGAACCCAACAAGACGACCGTTTGCGACTTGTAATTTTTGAGTTAAATTTAGACAATTAATTGAACAATTGCCAATTCAGATTCGGAATTGTGAGAATTAATCTTCATAAATAAATGATTTAGTTTAATAGAACAAGTACCACAATTTACTTAACTGGACCTATCAAACTAAATGAGAAAACAAATTAGGAACTAATTAATATCATGCAGTACCTATAAAAATAACAATTGGATCATAATAGCGGAAAATTTTTTGAGGATCATTTTTAGGGTTCCGTATCTCAAAAGGAACAAAATAACCCTTATAGGATTACTTTATTGTTTGTCAATCTAGACTCTTTTTCTTGGGAACGCGTGGAGGTATCAAGTTGAAATTAATATCAAAAACGCTGGTCTGTAAACCTTGGAGCTGTGAAAAAAATCAAACTTCTAAGTCAAACAAAAGATCAAAATCAGAACCTACAGGGTACTTCCTGATGTCCTAGAATCATCACAACAATTTAATAAATCTTTCAAAACACGTATTCTAAAGTATCATAAAAGTTTTTTAAATAAATAATTAGATTCTGTTTACGCAGTTTATCTAAATTAATTTAATTCAATCAGAATTTTCATTTAGGTTACTTATAAAATATTACATCCTTAAAGTGAATGTATCAAAGTAGATCTACTGGAATATATGGAAAGCAATAAATAAGAAAGAGTATTAAATGATCAATTAGGATCACACATCTAACCACATCCCCTACTCTTGTGATTTATTTTATGCCTGTATAAATAGTTATATTGACAAAATTGGAACAATTTTCACCAGAAGAAGCTAATCTTTTGGATAGTGTTTTTAATCAATATATACATATACTTCTTGAAACTATGGTGTTCATTTTGAACTGTTATCACTATTGATTATAAACAATGTTCTGCACAGTTTCTGTTGATCTTTAGTAAACTGATATTACAATCGAAATAGATTTCTAAATAAGATATCATTGGAATGCTGAGTCTCGGAAAGCTCAATCAAGTGATTTTGTTAGTAGCATCCTATCTACAACTTGGCGCAAAGGAAGGCATTGTAGCACATCACGGAGAAAATAAAAAAAGAAAATTTACTTAAATATTAAAGCGATTTTTACTATTTATCCCACTAGACCGTTCTTTCGTAAGCGAAAATAATAAAAATTTGGATGCGAAATTATAAAAATAAAATCCCAGCAGAAATAAACTTACTAGGTACTTTATTTGATATTACAAATTAAATTGTAATAATTGAGAAACTTGAAATAATTTAAAAAGCGTGTCAGAATTGAGATTATTATAAGTTACCTAATAAATTCTACTATTTCTGAAACCTATCTTTTATTACGTATATTAGCATTGAGTTTCCGATAATCGCAGCATATTCTTGTCGATCCATTTTTCTTTTTTACCAGTACTATCGGACTAGCAAAATCAGATGAGCTTTCTCTAACTATGCCTTCTTTCAACCATTCATTGATCTGTCTCTCAACTTCTTCTTTCTCAGGCTCCGATAATCTTCGTGGTCTTTGANAGACTGGTTGGACACGTACCTCCACTCTTTCCTATCCTGAGCTAAACTTCGCATTTCCCTAAAACTAGAACAACCCACATCCTTAACTATTTGCGAACAGTAATCTAATCTAGGTCTACCTCTACCCCTCTTAACTCCTGTTTCTGCCTCTAATATATCTCTGACTAGACCTTCATGTCCGAGAAGGTGTCCTACCAACCTATCTCGCCTATTTCTTATTGACGTCCATAAAGTCCTTTGTTCCATTCGCCGGTAATACCACATTTCGAACGCTTCTAACCTTTTCTTTTCCGCGCGTTTCGCACCCGTACAACGCCGCGCCCAAACATATACCTTTAACAACCTTTTTCGAATTTCTAAATTAACCGTTCGTCAGCATAGAAGTGACTTCTTTTTATTAAAGGCAATACGACCCTGCGCTATCCTCTGCTTTATATCCCTATTACTCCTTCCGTCCTGACTTATCTGACTTCCTAGATACCTAAAATCAGCCACTTCTTCTAATTTTTCGTCTCCTATCTTTATATTCGCTCTTTCCCTACTTTTTCTTCCCTTGCATACCAGTATTTTGATTTTACTTTTATCTAATTTCATACAACTTTTAGGGCGTGAATTTTATTGTCGGTGCACTTGTTCTTGAGTTTCTTATTTACTTAATATGCATTTCGTTTATTTGAATTTTTAAAAATTTTATTGAAAATACGACGTCCTGATTTAGCAAAATACCTACGTAAAACACTATCATCATTTGTTTCAGGTTCCTTAAATGTAATATGTAGCGGTATGCATTTCGGATGGCCTTCCCCATCCCTTCCACGCCTCCTTAGGGAAGATTCGCCCGTGAAGATAACAAGTGATGACGGTTCGTGGCTTGCTGTAATGCCTCTTCTGGGTGCTGTGCTAGGATCGGCCACAACCAGCTTTTTAGTGGAAAGATTCGGTCGCAAACCTGTCATCTTTGGTACTTCTATTCCATACATCATCACTTGGTTACTGGTAGCGTTCTCTCCAAATGCCGCCATGCTTATGGTAGCGAGATTTTTGGCCGGAATTACAGATGGGTTTCTCTTTTGCACCATGCCCATGTATCTGGGTGAGATTGCGGAACCGAGGATCCGAGGAACCATAGGTAGCAGTCTAAGTGTCAATTTCACCCTTGGAATTCTCTTAATCAACATCATCGGATCGTTTACGACAGTTAAAATGACAGCATTGATATCGACAATATTTCCCTGTTTGGCGGCAGCAACGTTCGTTTTCATGCCAGAGAGTCCTTATCATTATATCATAAAAGGGCAATTGGAAGAGGCAAAAATTAGTTTGAGAAAATTCAGGGGAAACGAAGATGTAGATGGAGAAGTCACTAGACTCATGGATGGTATTAAGGAATCGAATGTTAAAACAGCAAAGTTTACTGATCTCTTCATGGAGAAAAGTAACAGAACAGCGCTTCTTTTAATGATGGGTTTAAGAGCTGCCCAGCAGTTTGGTGGTACTTCTGCCATTACATTCTATGCTGGTACTATTTTCCAAGAAGCCGGCGATCACATCAGTCCTGAAGTAGCTTCAATTATTTACTTTGCTGTGCAATTGGGCATGGGATGTGTGTCGCTTATGATTGTGGACATCACCGGGAGAAGGCCCCTTCTAATTCTATCTATAACTGGTGCTTGCATCGCCCTTTTTGTGGAAGGTTCTTATTTTTACATTCACAACGTCACTTCTATAAGCACGGCGTCGTTTTCGTGGTTGCCTGTTGCAGCCCTGGTGTTCTACGTTGTGATTTTTAGTGTAGGAATGCAACCTATTCCAATGCTTATCCTTGGGGAATTATTTTCACCCGGCGTTAAAGCATACGCGTTAGGTTTTGCTGACATATACTTTTCATTTTTGGCAACGATCGTGTCCAAATTTTTCCAAGCGGTGAAAGACGAATTTGGAATATACGTACCATTCTTTACCTTTAGCGGTTGTTGTATTTTGGGACTTATCTTTATTGTTATCTGCTTTCCCGAAACGAAGGGGAAAACCTTGGAAGAAATCCAGCAGAACTTTAAGGGAAAGAAACCAACGAATAATCCAACTGAACCTTAAATTAACTGATTTTAGTAGATAATAAACTAGGAATTATTGGTTATTGGTATTCGGTTATTAATATAAACTAAATTTATTTTATGTTTATTAAAAAAGCTGATAAAGTTTGAATGAAGAAACTCAGTTGGTGCAGGTGTCAGCCAACTTGATACTAAATGACGAAATTATTGTATTTTACCTCAAACCTCAATATAGACGAGAATGTTAGGTTAGGTTAGGTTATTACCTCAAACCCCAATACAGACGAGATGGTTAAAAGATTAGAAATATGTTTAAAAATTTGGTTAAAAATGTTTAGTAGCTTTAAAAACAAGACAACCATACATCTCGTTTACTTAAATTAGTTGTTTCTTAAATTCTTTACTAAAAATATGAACTTTTGGTTTAAATTATGATTTATATTTTTATTTGGTTGGAGCAGAAATATTCCTCAAGTTCCCCATTTATTACCATTGTTTCTAAAACGAAGCCTTCCACCATACTTGCCAGCTTTGCACTACAATCTCGCCTACTGTCATTAATAGTCGCAAAGATGATTTTTTTCAAACAACAAATTATATGTTATACATCCAGCAGGCTATGCAGTGGGCTAAAAATAGTTCATAGATCTCGTCTACTTACTTAAATTAGTTGTTTCTTAAATTCTTTACTAAAAATGTGATCTTTTGATTTATTGTTTGGTTGATGAAAACTTTCAAAAAAAAAAAAGTGTTAGAAATATATAAATGCAGTAGCGATTGTAACGAATAGTTAAGGATACTTAAAACTAAGTCAGTTCTACTTAACGTTGCGCTTACTTAAGTTACACATATGAAACGTACTGGTTTTACAGTACAATTTATATTAATTTAAAAATTAAGTCAATATACTATATATAGAACAAATTACGTATATGTTCATTTGTAGGTATATTTCTTATGTTAAGTAATCATCTTCCACTTGCCAATAATTGACGTAAGGCTGATTGAATACTTATAACGATTGATGACAGGGTTAATCATCTATTAATCAATCACGAGAAAGAAGTTGAATATGTATTTCATGTGACGCAAAGCATATGTATACAACTAATGTGATACTGATTCTAAAGGTACTTATTGCGAAACTGCTATTGTATTATATTATCTATATAATTTAGGGTATTAATATTAATTGTAAAGAATCCTTTTTATACAAAGAATAAATTAATTACTTCTAAATACCTCATTTTTTTTTATTCAACAAAAGAATAGGTACTCTATTAATATTAATTTTTAAAGGCAAAAAAAATCGTGTGGTGACCTGGGACGCCCATTTGAAAAAAAAAACATCTGCAACTTAGTATACGTGAAAGAAGTAAAACTTTTTTGGCGATCTCTATACCTTATAACAAATAAGAAAACATTTTAGGATTAAGCTAACATGCCTATCACGTTGAGGTTGGCAGCGATTCGTTTTCAGCAAGTAGATATCCATATAATTAAATGGACCTTGTTGGAGCATACGTAATCCTAAAATGTAGCATCGTGCTACAGATGGCGTTCACTGCGCCATTTGTAGTATTTTCTAAAACGCACCGTTAAGACAGCAAGTAAAAGTTGGTCTGTGTTTTGTCAGGCTACCTGCGACGCGCTGATGAGATCCAAAAAGATCGAAATCGCGATCCGCGTCTGGCAGTTTCGACAGAATACAGACCACTTCGAATTATTTTATAAGGAGTATTAATTTAATACGTTTTTATTCCCTTTATTTTTCCAAGTGCTTAAGAAACCGTAAACTATCAATAACTACAGGGAATTGGAATTAATACATAATAAAACTTACTCTTAAATAAATATTGATTGTTGTTAAATAAACATTTACTGTAATACACTTACTGTAATATAACTGCACAAATACAACCAAAAAATTAATTTAGCACTGTAGTATACGGAATATACATTATACTATAATATATGAGATGCCGGTCACTGACAGCTGATTGTAATACTGATATGCGCATGCGCACCTTTCTATTCTCATAGTCCTTCGCTTCGCGAGACGAAACTTTGCAAAACGTGTCGTTTCATGGCCTTGAGATTTTACTCTCATCGAGCCCAAAGAAGTTTCACTTCAAGAAGTTATTAGTCTTGTAAGATTATCAAAACTAGATTTCGATATTTCCGGTTCTGGATAATGTACACATTTTGCCCATAGCAAAAAGATACGGTAATTCTTGCCCAAACGAACTGTCCAAATCGCAAGTTTTTAGCTTGTATAGTTTAGATGCTAATCGGTCTCATTCAAAGAGTTGAAATCGTGTTCTTTTTTCAGAAACAGTTGAATATCTCAAAAACTACTATAGATAGGTACAGGGAACCGCCAACAAAGTCTACCAAAATTTAAACAAAGGAACCAAAATATATAAAAATATATAGCGTGTTCTATTCAAAATAAGGAAGTGAGGTAGCGTCCATGGTATAAGTCTAGATTATGGCTCCCACCCCCTGAAGGGGGGGATCAAAAGAGGAGGTCTCCCCCACCACTGTACCATAGAAATTTCGTGGCGGTCTAACCCCCATAAAACGTTATGGGGATTCAAAGTTAATAAATATGCCAATTTTTATACATTTATAGGCATGTAAATATTTGTATAGTGATTCTTAAACAATATTCAAACGTAAAACTAATGAAAAATACATAAAAATATGGAGAAAGTTATATAAAAGATAATTTAAATATCTTTATCAATAGGGTAGGTTAGGTTAGGTTATCGGGTTTTGTTTAAGTGACCACCCTCTTTCGATCCCCCACTTCCACCCGCTTGAAAATAATTTTTTTATTGAATTTGATGTGAATTATAGTGCATGAAAATTGTCAAAATAATCAACTTTCAACCCCCATAACTTTAGTTTAGTTACACTAGATACGTTGAAAGAAACAGTTGGTTACAGTAAATAATATGGAAATCCTAAGTTGATTTTATCCACAAAAGTAGAATATGTTGACTTTACATATTTATTAGTGACTGCACTTTTTTCATTAACAATTCGTTGCATTCTTTTGGAGCAAAACAAACTGTTCTTGACCTTTACGTTAACCCCATACGATTAGAACTGTGTACCAATGGACCTCTCGAAAGTAACATATTGTAATAAATTGTTCCGCTTTACATCTGTCGTATACGGGTAAGGAAAATCGTTCACCGAACATAGAAATTACACATTTCTTTATTGGCATTTACAAAATACCTTAAAACCATATCTAAGCGCCTATCATACAAACCAACTAAAAATCATTCACTTAAACTTAAATTTATCACAAAAAACAAAATTATATTCTTCCCCGATCTCTCACTCTGTTCTCTTTTTTAAAGTTATTTTTTAAAGGAGTCGCTCCCTTTCCTTCTGCTCTTAATATTGCTGTGTATTCACTCCCTATTTAAATTTCCACATCTTTTTCTGTCATACGACTTAAACACTCATTTTCTCTTCTGCATACTCTACATTTTCTATCTTTGTCTCTTTCAACCAAATTTGTTCTCATTGCATTGTTTTCCTGTCCTAAATTTTTCCATAACTGTCATATTCTTGTTTCCTCCTTACCATTTTCTCCATATCTCTTTTCTTATGCCTCCTTCCTGTAAAAGCTTTAATTTTTTTTTCATGTCTGATTTCTCTCTTCTCATCTTAAAATCAAGTACTGCGTGCCTTTCCAATTTTAAAGGCTATTTTATGTATATTATAAATAATATCTTCACTTGATTGTAGCTTTTGCACCCACAGATTTTCACTCCATAGAATAAAACAGTTCTTCCTACTGTGTTGAATAGTACCTTCTTTCCCAACCATTTTTGAATAACTTCTACAATTCCCCATATTTTTCCCTTTATTGCATTTACTATTGCTATTCGATTATTTATTTCTGCATAATCCTTGTTATTCTCTCTGAGATAGTTACATTTCAAAACGTATTTGTACGAATTTTCCTATACCACGACGTATTTTTCCCTGTGCATGGTTCTCAATTCGCCACTAGTGTATAAATTCATATATTATGTAAGTATAATAACAGTCAGTATTCTTTAGTGGCCGACTACATCCATCTTCTTGATCTACTAATTGCGAATTATCGGCTGCTATCGGCGTTATTGACAGGTCATTAATTAACAAAAAAAATTACCAACCAGTACCAATGTTCCTGTAGAATAAACCATCACGAAGTCCAAAGGAAAAAAAAAAAAAGGAAAATAAAAGCTCTGAATTAAAGACAAAAACATGTTTAATAAAAGTTCATTGGACTTTTGGAACCGTTACTGTATTCCCTTTCTTACTATGGTACATGCAGTAGGCCGTGTACATAAAGCTACTAATCTTTTTCATGGTTACGCTTAATTTAAGCCAGTACAGGTGTGAGTCACACATACATACATATATTTGTTTGAACGATGGCATGGGATTTCATCAAATTATGTGTTGTTGCTCCTTTATTCAGCGAAATTACATTGCTTAACGTGCACTGTTTTTTTTTTATTGTGAGAAAAACAAGTTGACGAAAGAAAGTTTAGAATGCTCTACAAGAAGTTGTTAAGTCATAAAATAAAAATTTTACATGTGTTATTACGGTCTTGGGTTACAAGGAACTTTTTCACATGCAGCATATTCTTATGGAAAGTATGTCTTTACTTTATCCATCTTGCTGATTCCCAAAAATAAGGGAGAAAACTATTGCATAACACCGCAAGATAAAAATGTTCAGTCTCTCAGAGTCTCTGAAAGCGAGACTCGAGTCTCTCTGGTGTTGCTGAAAGAGAGTGTCAAAAAAACTGTTCAGCGTCACTGAACGAGAGCCTCCAGTCTTTCATAGAGAGATCCTGATTTTTTTTGTCCAGTCTGTAAATAATATTTTATAAAATTATATGACGAGTTATTACTTTTAATTTAAAAAATCATCA